ACCAGAGGGCAGGCAGCAGCAGAGGTATTCAGTATAAACATCTTGGGAACACAGGGCTCCCAGGGCAGGAGTGGGCGGGAGAGGTTCGAACTCACTGCATGCTCCAGTCTCCAATCTGTGCTCAATTTTTGATTTGCTCTTTTTTTTCTTGCAGTTTCAGCTGACCTGCAGACTGGTGAGTTTGCTTCACAGTCTTGGACTGGTCAAATGAGGCATATATGGGTGTAACAGCTACAGGGCATTGAGCAATGCCTGTTGCGTAGAAAACTGCTGATGTGAGATTTGCAGGGACAGTTCCCCCAACACAGTGAGGCTTGGCCCTATGCTTCTCTGGCCAGTTTTCCTCAAGATACAGAGCAGGCCAAAAAATGGGGCCAGGTGCCTCCAAGCCAAGATGCTCTGAGTCACAGACTCAGGCTGAGTCACCAACTCCATAGTTTGCAATGGGCTCACTTGGCTTTGAGCCTCCCTGGGAATGCCAGCATAGGGCCTGCTCATCTCCCTGTCCTCATCCCACATTCTCTTGGCTCCTCAGCAGGTCTCCCAAAGGCTGTGGTGGTTCTTGACCCTCAGTGGGTCAGGGTGCTGGAGGATGACAGTGTGACTTTGAAGTGCCAGGGGTCCTACCCCTCTGGGAACAGTTCCACAATGTGGCTGCACAATGGGAACCTCATCTCAAGCCAGGCTTCCAGCTACATCATCAAGCCTGCTAAAGTTGAACACAGTGGAGAGTATAGGTGCCAGACAGGTGGCTCTGCGCTCAGTGACCCGGTGAAGCTAGAAGTTCATCAGGGTGAGTCGGTGAAGGGGAAGAGGGAAGGCACCAATAAAGGGTGAAACCAGGGGCCCTGAAACACTTGGGAAGAGCCAGAAGATAATGTTCTTGGGGATTAGAACTAAGATAAGATCTGTGGTCCCACTGGATGATATCAGAATTGTAGTCCTAGCTGTAAGTAGGCCTTAGGTAAAATGTCAAAACCTGCTAAATAATAGATATAGGACTGCTGCATTGCATGATTCCAGAAATACCCATTCACATAGAATGTATACAATCTATATGTGTCATCTGAAGGTCAGGGCATGACATTGATGCTCAATAATATTTATTGATTAAA